AGAATCTAGACGGCAGATAATTTGCAAAAGCAGGGATGGACCAAATGTTGGTTGTGCATCTTTGCAAAAGGGAGCCAGAGTCGGCGATGCACCTTCTTTTCAAGTGCATATATTCCCTTAGAGTTAGTGTTGCGGTCAAAAATTGGGTCGATGTTTCGAAGCTTGCACATTGCTACTTGGGGAGGGCTAAATTTAGTCCACGCTTGGTGGGAGGCGACGGTTCTTCACCATGGCCACACGAGGAAGGCGATCTCCTCGCTGCTCGTGTCAGTAGCTTGGGAGGTGTGGAAAGAGAGAAACGACAGGGTCTTCAGCAACAAGGCATCAATGCCCTCCATTGTTATTGATAACATCAAAGTGGAGGCCAAATATTGGGTTCTTACTGGGGCCAAGCATTTGAGCACAATCATGCCGTGAGAGTAGGGTTTTTTTCTATTTGTTGAGGTGTAATGGACCTCACGAACTTGTTCCTATTCTCGTTCATGAATAGGACGAGGCAAATCTTTTGCCTCCGTTTCCACAAGAAGAAAAAGTTCTATTCTCCATGGATTGTTAGAACATGCTTTTCAACGCTGATATGGGTATTATCCAATCTGGGCACTCTTATGCTTCCTTACAAATTGTTTTCACTCTCATTTGATGCATTTTAGAAAGCTTGCAATGAGTGTTTGTTCAACAAAAATGTGTGCATGCCCAAGTAGGTCAAGCTTGAGATCATCAGACTGCTCCAGCCTCGAGGGCCATTAGATCAGAGCAACACAGTATCTTGTACTCCCTCCTTCCATCTATATAGGGCCTAATGCGTTTTCCAAGATCGTCTTTGACTATTGACAAGATTAATAGTACATGAGATGTATAATGTGAAAATTATATCATTGGAAGTTCCTTTCACATACGAATTTGATGGTATGCTTTGTGTAAGTTGTCTCTCATATCTTATTGCTCTAACATTTGGTCTAAGTTAGCCTAGGAAAATGCATTAGGCCCTATATAAATAAAAGGAGGGAGTAGTCTTTCCTCCTTCTCAAGAAAAGTCTCCTTCCTCCTCCCGTCGGCGCCGCCCGCCCATCCGCCCCACCTCCGATGGCTTTTGGGCCGCGGAGGTGCGGAGTATCTCGGCCCCCCACCGGCGGGGGGACCCCATTCTCGTTTTTGTTAGATTCAACTTCTTGGTTGGGGATGTGTGGCGGTGGCGATGCCCCTCAGTATGAATAATGTCTCTCACGTCCTATCCGCGTTCTGATGGCGTGAATAGCGTCGTCGGAAGATGTGTGATGGTGTGTCTCCGTTGGATCTCGTGGGATTCGGTCGGTGTTGGTCTTCGGTGGATCTATTTAGATCCAATTTTTGCTCGTCTTCATTCATGCAGTTACAGGTTTGATCTTTCCGATCTACAACTCTCTTCATCGGTGACGGTTGCTGCTATGATGTGTTGGTCCTTTGAGGCCTTAGCACGACGACTTTCCGACTGTCTATTACAATAAGGTTTACCCAGCTCCAATGAGGGAAGAGCTGATCTGACTCGTGTTCAAACTGGACAACTGTCGGTATCAATATCGGCCAGTAGCCCCCACAAAAAAGAAAAAGAAAAACAGTTGCGTAGAGGTTACAATAGGATCGTATAATCGTATCATAGAGGGATTACGATCAGCGGGTCACCATGATCACGGTGACGTTACAATCATATCCAGATGACAACACAATCTCGTCGTGCTACACGAGTCTATCTTCACAAGGACGTTGGTCATTTCACACCGCAACTGGCTCAGTGTTTCAGCTCCACAACGAACAGATCCTCTTCGATTCGCCCCATCCGCATGGACCTTTTAATTCAGTAGTCATTTTTAACGTGACGAGTACTGATCTTCACGTGGTCATTAGTGCATTGGCCAAAATATAGTGCTCCTTAGGACTGCATTATTTTCATGTTAGAGGAACACCAAGTAAAACAGCAAAAGTACAATCACATAACGCCTAATGAAGATTTGAGCCCCATTGTTTCCTTGCCTCGCTGTTCGGTGGAGACATCACCTTTTTTTCGATCTGAAAAGAGTTTTAATCCATCATAATAGGGTTACAATCGAGAGGCAAAAATTTCTCTATACATGATGATGCGCTACGTAGCCATACAACAATACTATTTTCTACTCGACTATATGACGCCAACCGATTTGCCACCCTTTGACTGAAACTATTATTTTGTTTAAGAAAACACACATCATGTTAAACATAGGGTATTGATTCCTCATGAGGTAGAACCATTCTGATTAACTTAAAATATAGCATCAAGAGGATATAAAGCACGATGAGCAATGTCTGGCCTCTACATAACTAAGATACAGACAACCACCAACAGTTTGACAATAGAAAAAAAATCAACATATCCGCACAGTAGAGTCATATAAGACCGACACTATACCTATGCCAAAGGAGGTGGTGCACCGATCTGAAGATTATGTTGGGTAAAAACTTCCCTAGCTACCCGCTCCAACCGCATACAGACCGCCTTAAACAACGATTGGTACTCCATTCATTGCAGTATAGACCATGTAAAAAGTGAGTGCGTACAGCAAAAAAATACCTGCAAAGGAGAAGAGTTTTTGCTACTAAAAACCAAATCATTTATACATAGTCAAAGCGACCATAATAACGTATACACTCCCACCCGTATTAGCGTTGTGAACCTATTTGGAATACCGTCCAACCAGTGACCAAAAATATTGGCAACACTTGTTGGTGGATACAAATTGGGCGCTATTTGAATGACTTGCACCGAAAAAGAAGTGTTCGATTGTCTCATCGTGAGTACAAAAAATTGACCTACTTACTTCCTTACCAATTGTGACGGGCCAGATTGTCTTTGATTAGCACAACTCACCTCCGAAGATCCACATGAATATTTTAATTTTATGGAATTTCTTATTCCTATTTTTTTGTTATTATCCATTGGGATCTTTGAATGCGTGAGCACACGGTATATAGAGTCCACTATGAAGGACCTAGATGTAGTGACTCTTCAACCATACTAACCAATGGTTGGTCTATTCGCATAATATTATCGTGAAAACGGAGTGAATTACAGAAAACCACCACATTGACGCCTAGGTTTGCAGAAAACACCGCTTTACGATTTAGGCCAGAAACCACTGATTCTCGGCCTAATCTTTTGCAAAAAACATTGATCTGTCTCTTTGGACATTTTAACCGCGATTATGACATGTGGGGCCCGCATATGATGATGTGGCGTAACTGTTGACATGGTGCGATATGAGTTTACCAAATAGTCCTTGGTATTTTTGTAGAAGCACCTTTCGATCAGAAAAGAAAAAATGCAATCAGTCCCTTGCCATGCCAAGCTCGGTTGTACTCTGCCTCTGGCCATCCTACGCTCGTGCGCTGCCGTCCATGCCGATGCTCCTGCGGCGGCGGAGCTCACCGGCGAGGGTTGCTGCTTGGTTGCGCCCGTGAAAAGAAAATTGCAATCAACAAATCGTAACTTTGCTGCAATTCACTCGTGGAAACGTGAAGGGTGAAACCTAGGAGATTAATATACCATGGCTTTCTAACTCTTATAGAAAAATAACACACTTAATTTTGCAAAAGCAACTTTTGCGGAAAAGGACAAATGCCATATACTCTGTATTAAGTAGAACATACACTTACAAGAACACCCTTACAGAAATTACAAAATGCATCCCAAGTCCTTATGCGGTACAAATGTGTTGTTCCTCATGCATACATCAACGGTGAGACGTGGACAAAGCTCAGTGCAGCATCTAGACCTCAAGATAACTACCGTAGTCACTAAAACGTTTTTGTAGCGGACGACAAGTCAATGATGCAGACCAGAAGATGTTGGTGGTCGCGATCTACGAAGCAAATCTCCGTCTAGGAGAAGAAAGCGCCAAAGAATGCCTGAAGAGTGCTGGCAAGACGAGATGGGGAACTAAAACCTCACATGCTCCTCGACATGGCCAGGATTAACCATCACCTGTCATTCAGAACTGGAACCAAAGGGCGAAGACACACAACCACGCCATCTTCTCTATGTGTTAGCATCACTGACACAAACTTGTAGAATAAAAAATCAAATTCAAGGGACACACCACTCTTCACACGCCTCCTAGTGATGCCAAAAAGCATAGTCGCGAGCACGAGTTGGACTTATTCCAAGCCGGTAACAACCCAATTGTCTCGCCATCGACGACTAAAAGACCCAAAACTTAATCCTAACCCTACCACCGTCAAACTAAAAACAACGAAACCTTCGCCCCCTCTCGTCCCCGAAGTAGCAGGCGGAGGGAGAGGGGCCCGCAGGCACGAGGGACAAGGTAGATTGGGACTATCGCATTCTCTCCTAGGGTATCGCGGGTGCAGAAAGATGGCTTGTAGAATAACGAAATTCTCTCGAAAAAAATACTTTGCATAGATTCAAAGAGAGAAGGCACGGGAATAGAAGAAAAAAAAGACTACGAGGCAGTGGCGAATCTAGCAGGGGGGCTTCGACAGGCTCGAGCCCCCCCTCCAAAAATTGGGAAAGAAAAATTACTAGTATTCGTATCAAATTTTTGACCTTATTTGGACTAGCGAATTAAAAGTTTTTTATTTTTTCTACACACAATTAACTTTGAGCCTTCCCTTCATTTTCTTTCAAGATTCGCCACTGCTACGAGGCCACTCATTTTGCTAGGTAGAAAACATGATCCCTATCATCTGATCAGAAACTTTCACACATAAAAATTGCATGGGTTATTTTCTACACACACACACACACACACACACCAAGAAAAATCTTTGAAAATTATTCCATCCAGAGCAGCCGTATTATTTTTTGGAAGATGATGTATTTATAGAGCGCGCTCGGGGTGCCTGCTCACGCTCGGTTGCGCGCCACAGCCTGAGCTCGGGCGTACGTATCCCTCTGGGCCACGCCAAGTGTCAGCAACAAGCACCGAACCCCACTCCTCCCCGCGCTCCTCTCCTCTCCTGCTCCCGAGACCATGGCGGCGACGCCTCCTGCCGCCGCCCCCGCGGGCGGGGCGCACAGCGTGTTCGTGTACGGGAGCCTCATGGCGGACGAGGTGGTCAGCGCCATCCTCAAGCGCATCCCGGTCTCCTCCCCGGCGCTCCTCGCCAACCAGTACGCACGCACGCTAGCCCCTTTCCCTCTCCCATCCTTGGTGGCTCCGCTCAATTATTCCTCTCTCGCCTCCGCTCTCACTTCTCGTGTTACCTTTGTTCACGGAACAGAGGTGCTCGGAGTTGGTGGCGAGGAGATCATGCTTTTGATTAGCCGGTAGTACCAACCACCAGTCTCGTTCATCGGTTGCAATTGCAAACTTGAGGGATTGATCGAATGATCGCAATCCATTGGATATCCAATATGCGGCATAAACAACGAATTAATTCGTATGTAGATAGGAGCTTTAGGGACTGTATGTGCCTAAATACACAAGAACAGTGGAAACTAATAAATGAATCTCTGTAGCTCTTCAATTTGGTAACTAACTTGTCTTACAGATTAATGGATTTCTAATCAGTAGTGAATTCAACTCTTAACGGGACATCCCTAACAGATTTCCTTTGCAAAATTTGCGCATCATTTGTAAGTGAGAACTTCAGGATTTCAACTTAAGCCTAACTTCTTTATTGAAGAAAAAAAAGCATAACCTAACCTGGCCGTGTTATGGCAGCACCGTTTTCCATTCTAGGTTTTGGAATCGACGGGGTTTCTTGTGCTCGTACTGGTAACAAACTGCCTTGAGCAATTAACATGCACAAAGATGATCTGCTGTTCTTCCTGTTGTAATTTGACTCTTGAACTGGAGCTCTTTTTTACGCTACTCTAGTTCTCCATCCATATTGATTTACTTCCAAGTTGCAAGTTAAGGTTTGACATCGGATGCAATTCATTGCAGCCATAGGTTTAACGTCAAGGATCGTATTTATCCAGCAATCCTACCTGTTGAAAGCAAGAAAGTTGCTGGAAAGGTTTGTTAACTGTTTAACTGTTTTACAGAGCTCAGCTATTTATCGTTTTTCCCCTTTTTGTCATTATTCTGTATTTACAGATTTGTTAATACGCCTATAATTTTCTCAGTTGCCTGTACCCTGTTCCCTTAGTTCCACCGCTGTCATCAGAGCATATAGTTGCTCTCTGCTTTTACATGCCTGTGGTTTCTCAGGCTTTTCACCCCAGAATATCAAAGTGCTGGAGTTGTAGTTACAATTTAATGTTGTTAAGTCAATAATTTGGGGGGGTTGGGTGCAGAACAAGCTTCTCATTCTTAGAAGTTGCTTTGGTCAGACAGTTGGTCAAGCCTAATTCTGCGTGATCCAGCATTTACTCTTGTTACTAAATTTAGAAACACACGCAATTTTAAAACCATGAAATTGTTGTAGTAACTGCCTCTGTTTCTGTGAAGTCAATTTCTCACTTGGCTTGGAGTATAGTTTTTTCTCTTTTTGCAATGAGGCCAATCATTTAGCTTTGAGTCCCAGTTACACCCTTTCTCTACTTATGCTTACTGCTCTGCAGGTTATCATGGGTATTTCTGACGCGGAACTCATTGTCTTGGATGCATTTGAGGATTTTGAGTATGTAAGGAGAAGAGTTCAGATATCACTAACCGTAAGTTTATTTTCAACTCAAGTGACCCATTGTTCATGGTCTTGCTTTTATCAGAAACTGTTTGAAGCTGGGTAACTTGTCGTTTTAGATGATGTTGCTCAAAGAAAGTTTGGCCTTACAGGATACTTCAGAGACAATGCATGCTGACACTTATGTATGGAGTGATGCAGAGGATCCAGATCTGTATGGTGAATGGGATTTCGAGGTGAGGGTGTCTAATTTTTCATTATGGTCTATTGATGCATCTGATTTCACTTCTTTCAGTCCCACACTTGATTTTTGGAATGAACACATTTATTGTTATTATAAATGTTGATAGATTTCACCGAAGTTATGAGTTCCGACAGAAGACAACAACAACAAAGCCTTTAGTCCCAAACAAGTTGGGGTAGGCTAGAGGTGAAACCCATAAGACCTCGCAACCAACTCATGGCTCTGGCACATGGATAGCAAGCTTCCACGCACCCCTATCCATAGCTAGCTCTTTGGTGATACTCCAATCCTTCAGGTCTCACTTAACAGACTCCTCCCATGTCAAATTCGGTATACCCCGCCCTCTCTTGACATTCTCCGCACGCTTTAGCCGCCCGCTATGCACTGGAGCTTCTGGAGGCCTGCGCTGAATATGCCCAAAACCATCTCAAACGATGTTGGACAAGCTTCTCTTCAATTGGTGCTACCCCAACTCTATCTCGTATATCATCATTCCGGACTCGATCCTTCCTCGTGTGGCCACACATCCATCTCAACATACGCATCTCCGCCACACCTAACTGTTGAACATGTCGCCTTTTAGTCGGCCAACACTCAGCGCCATACAACATTGCGGGTCGAACCACCGTCCTGTAGAACTTGTCTTTTAGCTTTTATGGCACTCTCTTGTCACAGAGAATGCCAGAAGCTTGGCGCCACTTCATCCATCCGGCTTTGATTCGATGGTTCACATCTTTATCAATACCCCCATCCTCCTGCAACTTTGACCCCAAATACCGATAGAAGAATCTGCTAATGACCACATTGAAGCACACTATTTATGATGAGCTCATGTAGGACATTTTGCTGCTGAAAGAAATGTTAACGCCATTTATGTTGGTATTCAGCAGAGAGGGCTGACGCCCCCTTCGCAACTACCACCCCCTTCTGCCCATTTGAGAACAAAATGTTTCTGTGATTGTAGCCTATTGATGCATTTACTCTGTGATAAACTGCTCAATGCCACTATTTGTGGGGATTTTTTTTTTTTTTGCGTACTAACCATATGTTTGTCTATAGGAGTGGAAGAGGGTTCACATGAAGGATTTCCTAACGATGACACTCGGATTCATGGACGGACTCGAACGGCCCGAACCGAAGACCCGGGTCGAGACCTATCAGTCTTTCATGCACGAGCATGAACAACCTGAATCAGGAACCCAGGTCAAGAGCTGAGTTAGGATCCGATTCATCAGTGTGCTGTAATAGCGTTATCCGAAACAGCTTATATCCTCAGATTTGTGAATAAGATCTTTATAGGATCATTCTCACTGAAACAAGTTCGAATACAATCTCTTCTGTGAGACCCCTGATGATGCAAGTAGTGATGTGTATCATAATAAAAGCTTTTCTGCTAGAATTGAGATGAAATATGTGCTGTTAATGCATGATTTTACAAGCAAAACGAAACCATCTTATATTCTGCGATTGGTTGGTGCTCTGCTTACTGCTGACCAACTACCATTAACATCCCTATCATCATTGAACCAAAGTTTGAGATTGTGCCCTATATATGCCACAGAAAAGAACATCAGCAATTTTCTGGCATTGAAATTGGCCCAAAAATTCCCATTTTTCATGCAAGTGGTTAACCTGACATATTTCTTACAGAAATGTCGAAAAGGATCGGCCATCAATGTTTTCACTCAATGCAAATGCTGTTTCAAATTCTGTTAGGTTGGATTTTCTGCACCGCGTTCAGAAGGCATCAGACATTAAAGTGATGACTTGCAGGGTAAAATAATAATAGCTTGGGATTCATGCAAATCTGAAGAATTTCCTCACAACAGAGGAAGCATCAGGTTACTACCACAGAACTTGCCTTTCCAATAATACAACATATTCCCCCTAACCCTCTCCAACTCTAGGTAAGCTTCATTTACCCATGCCTACTTCCTTTCTTGTAACAACTACACATATAAACAGAACACTACTGATCCAATGAGCCGCTTGCGCTCCCGGATGTAAGCTGACAGAATCTACAACATCCTGGCGCTGCACAGCCTTCTCCGGTCATTCCAGCGGTTGATGTCTACTTAGACCGATACCGTTGGTGTGTATAGACTGGTAAATTAGGTCATTCGAACTGGTCATATGAACCGGTGGAAGGGTTGCCGGAGTTCTGGTCACAGCGAGCCCTCCAGGCATTGCCCCCGCCCTCCGAGCTGCTGCACGCCTGGTTGGGGACAACGCTGCTCCCCAGATCGCCGTCCAAGCTCATCTGCTGCACTTCCTGAGGCGAAAGGATCCTGATGCACTTCACGCAGTTCACAAACTCCCTGTACAACCAACATAACACCAACAGTTATTAGGGCAAAAATATGTGCAAGCGTCCACAATTAACACAAGCTCAGTCTTGTGTACGCTTTTCTTGCGATTCATCGTTCTAGTAGGCCAGATTTCACATTGTCACTACCAATTGTTATCTAGTATTTTACAACATTGACTACTATATTATTTTGGAGGCATTTAAATATATGACATTCTTGAGTCAAAAATAGTCCACCCAAGCATAAACGGGAAGACAGATAAACTTACTCCCAAGGATCATCGCCAAGAAGCAGGATATCATCCTCGTGATCTCTGTAGACAAGTTTCCAGCCAATCCTCTGTCGTTCCTCAAGTTGCCCCTCTATGCTAAACATTCGAGCCAGTGCATGCTTTAGTTCCTCATATCCAGCGTATTGACTAATGTCAATAGACCGGCCCACAGCTCCACGTTTATAGACCTACAGAGACCGTTAGGTTAGGCAAAGATGCAACAGGAAAGGCACTCATGAATATTAGAAAGAAACCAATGCTTGAGTGTAGAATTAGCTACCCTGATCAAGTTACAGCAACAGCTAGTAAGCTACTGCTATTAATAAGAAAAGGCACACATATGCATGCTAAAACTTCATTTTGCTTCTACTAGAATCCCAACCCGCATCTCATGAATCATGCGTACACAAATCAAATGTGAACACGGTCATTTTCCACACATGACAGTAGTCACATTTTACAACTTGGTAAAGAGAACCAAACTCTCTAGTCTTCTGCTCTTCATCACAGGCAGAACACAATTTACATCGGACTAATTATGTAATTCATGTTCCTCATATGATTATTTTTGTAACATTTAAGAACTTAGTGAAGGGAGATTGATCATTTGGTTTATAGTTCACTATCTCATGATTTTCATCTTCCAACTATGTTACCATGGTAATCAAAATAGGCCTCCTGTTTATTTCATAGGACAACCATACTGAAAATTAAAAGATAATAATGCACTGAAAGTAGCATTCAAGCTTCAGCTGAAAGAAAAGGGAAAGTACTAACCTTCGTAAACGTCCTCATCCTCTTTACTGGAGGAGCAGGTGGCCAAGAACTTTTGTTCAAGAAGGCACCATCGTTGATTCCAGAGTCAATTGAATTAAACGCCATGTCTGACGCACCAAATGACTGTGAAACCATGGAGGATGATATCTCTTGCTGGGCATCCTTTGGTATTCTATAGTTGTTATCAATGTCTGTAGAGATATGATTTTCATACTTGACAGCATCAATCCCATTCGTCAGGAAGTCATCAGTTACCATAGGGAAGCCCACATGCCCATCATTGCTAATACCAAACAATGCATTATTGCTTGGAATTTCAGCAGGAATTTCGGTATCTGGAGGTGCATCTTTGAACAGCTGCTGCTGACTAAAGTTGGTCATGGGGAAATTTGGATGTAGGAGTCCATCAGCCTGGGAAAGCCAAACTGAAGTTGCTGAAGAAGCTGTTTCTAGATAGTCTGTCGGGGCTGCGTTGTTTGCAAAATTTTGGGGACCAGCTCCTCCATTCAGTAATTTTGAAGGCATCATATTTTGCTTTACATTGGAATTCAACTTTGGCAATTCCTTTGTCATTCTTTGAGCTCCGGTGACAGCATCAAGGGAGCTTGGAACTGACATAGGAGCAGTTGAGTGAGGTGCCTTCTCCGTGTTGATCATGCTGGAGTACTGGTCCCTACCAGGGACTGGTTGTAGAAGATGATTACCATTAGCAGTGGAAGGGGATGTTGAGCAAGAAGGGATTTCTTCCGTAACTACAGAATGTGTAGCACCAGGCATCCTCAAAGGGCTTCCATTTGCTGAACTGAATTTATGTGATGTGGTCGTAGGAATGGCAGCTTCTAAGGTGTCTGCAGGCAGAGCTTGCTTCTGTGGAAGCTTCTGGTGTGTAGTATCTGGCTGCATGGGTGGTGGCAGTGATGCTGCCTGTGATGGGATTTTTGTGCTTTGTTGAGGCATCATCTGTTGTTGGGAAAGTGAATGGGAGCTTGACAGCTGCTGCTGCATATCCATAAGTAACTTTTGCTGTTCTTGGATCAGAGGTAATTGCGCAAGGGTAACTCCAGGTTGGGACAGCAATGAGTGCTGCTGCTGCTGTAGCTTTTGCAGGAGTTGAAGCTGAAGCTGCTGATCCGATAATTGCAGCTGCTGATTTGACAGATTTGGTAGCTGTGCAGGCATCTTACCGAGTTGCTGCTGTTGCTGTTGTTGTAACTGATGTTGATGTTGTTGTAATTGTTGTTGCTGAAGTAAAAGCTGTTGCTGCTGTAGAAATTTTTGCTGCTGCTGCTGTTGATGTTGTTGTTCTTGTTGTTGATGTTGATGTTGCTGATGATGATGTTGCTGCTGCTGATGCGACAGGAGCGGCTGGCTGACGGCTGGCAACTGATTTTGAGATATATGTGGCTGCTGCTGCTGCTGCTGCTGCATCTGACTCTGTATAAGGACCTGAGCTTGGGCAAGACTGGTTTGAGCTTGGCTCAAAGGAAGGGTATAGTTCATGGACTGTTGTTGCCTCTGGAAGTTGCTAGTATCTTGAGTTTGTTCTTCTGGTTTGATGCTCGCGCCATTCTGGTTCAATGGAAGGGCTGCCTTGGACAACTCATTGTTCGGCTGCATTTGCTGAGGAAGTTTGGGTGTATTAAACTGCATGTTATTCTGTTGCAGAAGCTGGTTCTGCAAGCACAACTGCCTCGACAGATCACCGGAACCAATATTTTGCATACTGGGGTTGGTTATTGACCGCAGGTACTCGGACTGCATGGCTGTATTTGCAAACGAGGAGCTCTGCTGCATATTCATGTTCATCCACTGAACCAAGCTCAGACCAGGCATTATGGTATTTTGCGTCTGAGGGTCCTTTATGCATATCTCTTCACCCAGCCAAGGCATAGCCCTCTTTAAGAGATTCTCCATTTCTGAGGACTCATCATCTGTAAGTACATAATTGGAATCAATTTATAAGTATGCATAAGACCAGTTCAATAGAACACTTAGATGAGAAGATTATCCAGAACCATTTCTGGCTCCAATAAAATAATTTTCATGGTATGGATGCCTGATCCATGTATGAAAACAAGAATGGTAATCTGATAGATTGTCTACAGCTCAAACATCATTGTTTTCCCGAGGATCACAAACTCCTAGCTACTCATCTCTCTAAGGATTAAAGGGACGGGGTAATGATGTTCTTTGCAAAAAGGTAAGTACTAGCTTTGAATTAGGGCATCTAGACGAACGTATCAGAGATATACATGCATATACAATATAACACTACATGCCACACACACACCACCTCTGGTGCAGGCCTACTTTCCCAATTGTACAGATAAAATGTAACATGATTTAACTATTGACATCCAGGATCAACAACTCTGTCAAATGGTAATTCAGAAGATACAAAATAAGTGGCGTTGAGGTAATCCCAAGTCTACCTAGTTGTCTGGGACGCTTTGCACCAAAAAACGGAGGAGGACATATGAAAAATGGAGCAGCGACTGGTTCAATCTCCCAGATTGAAACTCTGTTCCGTCTTTCACCTGCTGCAGATTCATCCCAACCAACCTGTTTAACGAAAAGTTCTTGGATCAGCAGCAGAAAGGGGTGGGTGACGCAAAACAATGCTACCCAATCTAACTACTAAACCAACCTGTAAATTGCGCCACTGAGAATTTTTCCATCTTACAGGATCTAAATCATTTATGCCAGTTATTGTGCCCATGTACCTGCAACATGCTAACATATGTCAGGTACTAAAAGGTTGAACAACTGGAAGGACCGCTCGCAGTCTACCCATCAAGTAAAAGCATCAACAAACCACTAAGCTAATCATAAAATATAGTATATGGCAAGATCTACAT